GCTTTTGACAGTGTCTGATAGGAGCGGAATGCAAACTGGCATATGGGCAACTGAGAAAAAGAGCATACATTTCCATACGCAAGTACAGTGCGTGTGTATTTCCATAGTCCTGCCTTTTGACACCACGCTTTCTCTTTTCTTTCTTACCCCCTCTGCATTTTTTCTTTATTTCTCCTCCCTTCTCCTCTTCTCTCTGTTTCTCCCTTTCTTTCTTTCTTTGGTTCCTTCCTCCCCTCCCTCCCTCCCCTTCCTCTCTCCTCTTTCCTGAGTCTAATTACCAAAGAAATAATACTGCCAATTTCCAATTTTCTGAAACTTTGGAAAATGGGTCTATAATTTGATTTTTAAAAAATAAAAAGGACACTCTGCTGAAACGTGAGCAGACTTTTGGCCAGAATTAAGCATTTGTGACAGGTCTTAGGAAAACCCCATTTTATTCCCCTATCTTCAGGATGTGAAAGTTTGCTATCAAGAGTCATGACTGAACAGAAAAAATCCTCCCCTTGCCACATTCATTAAAATATGGGACATAAAAGAGCCAACATTCATATCCAGAAGAATTTTCAGCAGTCTGATCTTGGACATGGATCAAAAATAGGACTTTCATACCAATATTATTTAATACTGTATATTCTATATAAGATATGAAGAATATGCAGGCTTCAATAAGTTCTTAGTTTCCTGAATAATAGTGTAGTAATTTTAATGTTGTATCTGTGTAGTTTTTCATTCAACAAACATTTGAACACTTGCTTGGAGCCAGACATTTTGCAGGATACTAAAAATACAGATATGGTCCCTCCCTCAAGGACTTGGCACCCTTGTAGGGAGAAATAGAAACGTAAACAGGTGAAACCAGTAACTGGGCAAGGGGACAGCAGAACAAAGCATTTCCAGAAAAGTTTGGAGGAGTTAAGTGTAGACTTGAACTAAACCATGCAAATCATTATGGCTGGACCACAGGAAATATGAGGGTCAGGCAACAGAGATGAGCCAGAGAGGTCATTTTTAAGATAAATTGAAAATGTGGATGGCTTTCATACCATCCAAAGGTTTTTACAATTTGTTGTGATGATCCACTAAAAGATTATAATCTTTAGGGGCTCCTGGGTGGCTCAGTCGTTAAGCGTCTGCCTTCGGCTCAGGTCATGATCCCGGAGTCCTGGGATCGAGCCCCGCATCGGGCTCCCTGCTCGGCGGGAAGCCTGTTTCTCCCTCTCCCTCTCCCCCTGCTTGTGTTCCCTCTCTCACTGTCTTTCTCTCTGTCAAATAAATAAATAAAA